TGCAAACGCTGGCTGAACCCTACGAGATAGATTGAAAATGTACTACAATATTGAACACAGTTGAAATAGTTAGAATTGTATGCCAACTGATATATTACTTCTGCCTGAATCGGGCAGATCTGCATGACAATACAGTGCCAGATTCTGGAGCCGGCTGTCACTCGTTGACAGTTCGGAAACAAGACGTGTGTGTCTACTGCTCCACCTTCAGCGAACTTTCCTTCACCTCCTGTGTGCCAAAAAAACAGCGCATCAGTGGAGATACTCCTCCGCTGTCTGACGTGTCCAATCGTAAAGTAGACGACTGGATTCGTAGAGAAAAACCTAAAAAGGCTAGGTCTAAAAAGCTACAACAGAAGGCCGTCCTCGACAATGTCAGAGATGAGGCCAGGAACTACTATTCGACATCCAAGATCACGAATCGCCCTATAACCCAAAATCACGAAAATGAGAAAATGGACGCTAATCAAAATATGTCAAATGATAGTGTTTCAAACGTTTGTGGAAGCACTGTTACAACTACTCAGGACAAAAAACCTATTTCTCCTGCCCCTCTCAGGCAAATGGAACATCCTTCAGTAAAAAAAGTTGTTCGTCAGAAGGGCAAATGGATGAAACTGACAGGAGGAGGATGAACACAGGAGGTTTCAGACATCTGTTCTGCATTGAATCAGACGAAAAATTTGTTCGTCTGTCGAAATTCGACTGAGCAGATGTTGTCATAAACTAATCTCGGTTTACAACCCTCCGACTAATCGTTTACTCCCTGAATCACTGGATGATCTGCTGATGGAAAACAACATTTCGACAATTGCTGCTGATGACTTTGAAACCAAGCACCAACAATGGAATAGAGCCACTAATCGTAACGGCCAAGCGATCTATGCGCTATCTAGAGTTGGGCCCGGATGAGCCCATGTACTATCGTGGCCTTACTAGACCTGATATTTTATACATTGCGCTTTCCAAAACCGTCTGTCTGATCAGCTAACTCTATGTTCTGTTGGAAATGGATTCCGATCATGATACGGTCATCTTGTTACTGGGTGATGATTTTTCTTCTTGGGATTATTGCGTGAGATCATCGACGGATTTGGATGCCTTCACAGCCCATCTCGGAGAGATGCATACCCTCCTGAGGCATTTCACTCTTCCGACGAACACGACGTGGCAACTGAACACTTCGATCATCCAGTGCATTCGATAATGCATTCCGAGTGACCACCTCTAGGGAAGAGCTTCCGCTGAAGAGCTATAACGAGTTTCTACCACAGATTAAATCCTCAATACGTGAGAGAAACCTTCTCAGACCGCTTCATCAATGGACCTTCTTTCCAAAAGATAAAGTTGTGGCTAGCAGAATGGCCACTCAAATGAAACAGACTATCGTTAACTATCGAAACGAAAGATGGGAGGAGCTGTTAGAATCCTTTGAGACTAAGGATTACCAGCTTTGGCGACGTGGCAACTGAACACTTCGATCTTCCGGTGCATTCGATAATGCAATCCGAGCGACCCCCTCTAGGGAAGAGCTTTCGCTGAAGAGCTATAACGAGTTTCTGCCGCAGATTAAATCCCCAATACGTGAGAGGAACCGTCTCAGACGGCTCCATCAACGGACCTCCTTTCCAATTGATAAAGTTGTGGCTAGCAGAATGGCCACTCAAATAAAACAGACTATCGTTAACTATTGAAACGAAAGATGGGAGGAGATGTTGGAATCCTTTGAGACTGAAAGAAGAATGCTCCGTCACCCATTCGAGGAAAGCGCGGAGGGTACTACTCCCCCGCCAACAAAGCGGTGGCCTTTGTCGATACGACAGAACGTCAGTTCCAGCTCAATGTCAACGATAACGATGACATCGACCGCGATATTCTGTTGAAAGATCGGGTTCATCCTCAGGGAAGATGACGACGGCAACGTCCATCACGGCTTCGAAGGCTAGGAAATCTCCGGAAGCCGACTCGACAGTAGGTGGAGGCATGCGATCGTCGTCATAATCCCAAAGTAGGATTAGAACCTTCTGTTCCCACAAAACTATCGCCCGATCAGGCTGTGTCTTCGGCGGCTCAGCTGACTGAAAGAGTTGTTCTGCAAACTCTCAACGAAAAAGTTCCCGACCGAAATTTTTTGTTCCACGAAACATTCCGGAGGGAACTTCTGGAGGGAACAATCCACTGAATTACAGGCTCTAAGCTGGTCGAAAACACCATCCAAGAACTGAATACAAACGAAAAAGTGAATATTGTTTTGTTGAACATCTCGAAGGCCATTCTGTACAAACTACCTGCGTTCGACCTCTCTCGGGGCCTCATTCGATGGATTGGGTCCTTCTTGGAAGACAGATAATTTTAAGTCAGAGTGGAGGGCTCCCGGTCTGACAACTGGTAGATCCTCGCTGGAGTGCTAGAGGGGGCCGTGCTCTCTCTCACGTTTACCGTCTTTACACCAGTGACCTGCCAAGGCCCGAGCGTGTGAATTTATCTCTGTATGTTAATGATACCACTCTCCTCTCATCTCCCATGGATCGAGAGCTTGGGATCATCTAAATTTGAAGTGCATTAGACAACTTCAACTGTTGGTACCTCAATTGGAGGATTCGAGTGAACCTAGGTGAAACTCAGGCAATAACCATGGAACGAACGATATCTTCTCCGGCCATGTAAGTGTGAACCATGTACAATGATATCTGACGTAATTGATTATACATTTGAAAGAAACAGTTTGATAGGAAAGAATGGACAAATGATACGTCGTTACAACTATCCACTGTGAGAAGCTTCATCATTGACAAAGTTCTGGATTTTCAGGTCGTCGTATGGTAGAATTCATTTATTATGAATGAAAATATTGTTAATTCGAGAATTGAACTCTGTATTAAGTCAGCTTTGATTCCTTGTAATATTATGAAAACTCCACTTCTACGTTATATAAAGATCAATTCGAGAATAAGTTGGTCAATAGCCGACATATTCTTATTTTACGAAATGTAATATTCTTCAGAAATATACTTTATTTTTGTTGTTNGGAACCTCCGCCTATGATTTTACGAGTTTTACGACCGTTTTATGACTTGGGCCCTCATTTTGTGTTATCGACAAATTATGAACGGACTATAGTATTTCTAAAAAAACCGTTTGATGTTATGGACGATTTTGTTTCGAAAAAAAATGGGTTTGAGTCTCGGGAGAGATGTTGACATCAAATTGATATCAGTATCAATGGACCGATCAAATAATATTACTGAAATATTCTCCCAGTTTGGCAAAAATGAGTTAGAAATATAATTGATAAAATGTTCAAATCACGGATGAGTGAATCATCAAATTGGTCATGACTTTCATCGGTAGTGATGGTTTAAAATTATTTTTAAAAATATATTCCTAAAGGAAAAAATGTTATAAAGGTAAATTTACTAATTTGAGAAGATCCTTTACCTAACGTAGTAGATTCAGTTCAAATAATGGATAATATGTTTACTATTCAGGCAATTCAAAAAATCCTGTCGAAATGTTCAACAGAGATACATGCCTATAGTCGATAAGAATTTTACAAATGCAAAGTTCCACTTTCTAATTTACAAATTTTGAGAGTTCGAGAATTTAAATAAACAAAGAGGATAGATATCCTTCCAATGTATATCATTCCTTTCCAACAAAAGAGTTATCTGCATTCTTGATCGAAATATTCCACGTATCATAACAACTTCATAACTAACACACCGTTGGCTGGAAATGCTGGATTTCCTTCTATGAACCTGTAAAACATAATTGCCAAATGATAATAATATATTGATTCGATTATTGAGCTGAAGTTGAGTCTTTATTCATATCCATTATTTTTTTTCAATTTTCAACTCCAGAAAAGAATAGTTCAAAAAGGATAGCAACTATCAGTATTGTGAGTATGTATCCACCAATTACTTGCAGAGTATATTGAATAATTTTGAAGGCCGTTTCTTTTATCATGNCTTTTGAAGATGATCACTTGGTGATCGAAACACATGTCGAGGTGTTAAAATAATGGTTTGGTGTTGGGAAAAAACTCCAATAATATTCATTACTACACTAAAGGTTCCAAACAGTGCATCACAAGTAGTTTTTTTACTGAACTGAGAATGTTGGGAACATCAATGATAAGTATATGTTAGAATAATCAGAAAATCCCCAGGTCATATATTCCCCCAGTAATTCTATGAGTTAATTTGGCAATGCTTTTCAAAAAGTATTTCTTATAGGAGCATTCTCATTTGTTTTCAATTCTATGAACATCTCCTTCTTCTAGTGACCCCAACAAACATTAGTTAATATATCCTTCTTGAACAATCATGTACTTCAGGATCATTTAAGATTATATTTTGATTAATTTCTATACAATATCATTTGTCTTTTGTCCTACATGTTTGTCCAATTTTAAATTTGTAAGTTAGTCATTAAAGTTACTTCCTAGATTCTAATTCAGGATTTTTCAAATTTTACTTGTTTTATAGCAGCTCGAGGAATAGTATATTGAATGTTTTGGAGTGTTAAAAAATGACTAAATACCATTTGTATTATTTCAGTTCTGTCACGCGAAAAGTCTGATGCAATAGATAATATTTTTGGTTGCCACTTCAATCTGCTTATCATAGGTTACGGACGTAAGAAGTCTTCCCTTTCCTAACTTCTGAACAGGACTACATATTGAAGTGGAATTCGTTGTCGGTCGGTAGCCGGGCGGTTCGACGTGGATGCTTTGTTCACTCAGTCAATCGGCCGATGTGTGAGTCGATGGTTCAAGTCCCAGGCTGAACGCTCGATTTTCACTTGCTTTCGTCCAATCCGTGTTAGGAATCACACGTTGAAAGGTAAGACCTCGTTAGTCCTCAGCTCGCACAAGTTTCGACTTCTGAAAGTTGTCGTTTGTGAGGCTGCGATAGATATGTATTGAAAGTTCATAAATTAACAAGTAAAGCATGTACCTATACTCGCAAAACTCTACGTAACTCAGAATGAATAACTGTAGTCAATTATTTTTATTAGATATTTATTGAATGCATGTCATGTCAGTGAATGGTAACAAATTTCTCATCTGCATTTCTTGTCGAAAACCTACCACGTTTCATAACAATTTCACAATTAACACACCATTGGCGGAAAATGCTGCAGCAGTAACCGAAATGAAAACAGACAATAATTTCAGAGCGATTTCTGGTTGTCCTTCTGAGAGCCTGAAAAAATTAAATACAAGTTAGTTGTGATTTGATACGAATAAATTTACGTGATCTGATCATTTCCAAATTGATTTCAATTTAAGAGCCACCGGTAAACAGTTGCTGTTTAAACTCTGATTGTTCAACTTAATTCGGTCAAAATGAAATTTTCTGTTACATTTCTTGAGATTTACAAATCTGATTCAGAAATAGATCTCGTTTCTGTATTTATTCCTGAACAGCGAATAGTGACTAGCAAACAATTTAGAGTAAATGGGAGAAAAAACGCTGGGAAACTTTTTTCTACATTTCATACTCACCCAGGCACACTAAGACAACCGACGTTTATCAATAAACCGCCACTTATATTGTATAGAACAATAAATAGAATAAACTGCCAATCTTTATCAAAAACTACCGATAAGTGACTCCTTGGTTTGGCATTGCAAAAAATAATGATTCCCACCGAAAGGACCGTTCTCATCACCGTTCCACCCATCCAAAAGGTAAAATTGGATCTCTGAAAAATAAGTATTAGAATAGACAAAGATCCGTTAAATAAAGGATCGCTTAGATATCTTGAATTTTCGATAACATTAGTTTCGGCAATTGTTTTTGAATCATATAGCTTTTTGATAAACCCTACATCTGAGTAGTCTGAAAGATATATGACTCACTATCTTTTTTGTTTCATATCAAGATCAACTGTCGAAATTTATAAAGAACGAATCGAAATTTTTGCAAATCTATTAAACAAACTCGCATCTATGCGTGGGGATTTCTGACAAATCAAGGCAAGTTGAGACATATTGGTCTTCTTTAGAGAGAAGTCTCAAATAATGACGAAAAACGAAGTAATTTTTTGTATCAGAGATGAAAATTAAAATCAAAGAAACTTTTAATTTCATTTCATGTATGTTATTTGTATCCTCCAACATAGGCCACCCTCAACTTTGAAATTTCAAACACAGACCTCTATATTGTGTTAACATGTTTTCAAAATGTCATATATCATACAATTATTTCATTTCTGGCATTTCTAAAAGCTTCATTGGAATGCATTCCATAAATTACCAGTCGACAATAAACTGTCATTTATTGAGTATTGAAATTACTATACCTAATCCATCTCTCTTCATCACGTCAAATACCTTACCGTAACTCTTCCCAAAGAAATTATCTGTCCCACCAAGCTACTAACATCGGATAGCAAAAAAACAATAACTGGGGTGAAATATTTATCTGAAAAAGTATAATATTATGATTATTTCCACCAGATCAAGAAATATATTCAAAATAATCAGTCATATACTCGTATTATGAATAAACTGTCTCGTTACTTGATGCAAGTCTACACGCTACTTTCATCGGTTGAACTGGTACCTACTTCAAAGTATTCTACGATATTCTTTAAGCAAAAATTATATGAATTGAAGGGGTTATATCTTTGGAAGTGATTATTTTTGGGAAAGAAAGTAGAAAACCAAAAACTTTCTTTCCCAGAAATTATACTATTGTGTCGTGGTGTGTTGTGATGCTATCTGACGTGACGGCGAGTGTGCAGACTATTATTCTGTCGTGTCGGGGCCAGGGCTGCTCCTGGCTATACAATTGTAGGAATTGCTATACAATTCAATATTTTTTCGTACATGCATACCACATTGACGAAAAACATACATTTTGATTTCATTTGGTTTTGAATGGATTCGAACGAGGCCACGGTATATATTTACAAATTTCAATCACTTCGTCCTTCGATAGTCAAGTAATCTGTCTATTTCTGTCTTCCGTCTAATTATGATAGGCGTGTCCGTCTGTCCTAGAACTCATAGAAGTCATAGATCACGATCACGTCGATCACAGAGCACCAAGCACTTATTTTTCAGAGTAGTCAAATGTCAAATTTGTCGAAAACCACTGACTCTAAAAGAAAAATAAATCCACAGTGAGAAAAGAGAAATGACGAATTTTAAATAAATATTTATGAATGGTAGTTGGTAGTTCACCTCACCCCTCTTGATTTTGCTTCATTCCATCTTTACATCATGTGGGAAACTGTCACTTGTCAATTATTCTGATCACAGTGTTGGCGACTGTTGATGCTATACAATTATAGCGAAAAGCATACATTTTCATCTGTCATTTTCGTACAATTTTTTTTTACCTTGAAGCAACACTGGTCGGGGCGCGCTCTGACGTTATTTCTATTAATACAGTGGTGGCCTTTGGAGTTAACGCATGCAAGTATCTACAATGTTATCTTCCGATTCGGATAGTGATATTGAAGAAAACCTTGCGTGTCTGCAAATGTAAAGTTAACTCAAAAAGAGAAGAGAAAATTTTGGGTTCATCCAGTAAATAATCTGAGAGGTAGTCGAAGCGAATATCATTCACTAGTGATGAAGAAAGATTTCATCAATATTTCAGGATGTCAAAAAATCAACATTCTATGGTACAAAATGATAATAAAAATACAAACCCAACTTTTCTAACAAGTTCAATACGTTCATTCGACATCTTGTGCACAAATGAATGCAAACGACTATTCTCTAGCTAGTTGATGCATCAGATTAGAAACATACTAGTGTGGAGTGTTCTGTCGCGTCATAACCCCACCATCGTTCTGACGCCGATCGGGAATCGACCGATCGCCGTCACGACAGATCACGTCCCGACACAATGCATTTTAGTTATATAATTATAAACATAATAAATGTATGGATACGATATACTTGTGGCGCGTGACGACACACCACGACACAATAATATAATTCCGGCTTTATACACGGCGTTCCAACGAAAACTTGCTCCTCTGTAAGACAGAAACGAACGTTTATTTTTAGTGCTATCAATTTCGATATGAAGGTCATAAACAAAACTCCATCCCCTTACGGTCACCAGCTACCCTCCATATTTTTTCAATGGCATGGTAGGTCGAGTGATACATCATTTGACAACTTTTTTGTTCCTTCACCACCTCTAAGTGTTTATGGAACTAGTTCATTCGGCATCGCTATCATTGAATGTTAAACGTATTAATTAGTAAAAAACATAATATGCGCTGTTGTTTATTGAGGAAATCAACAACAAACAATATCAATGGGAACATAAGATACATTGCTCAAAATGATTATCATCTACTGTAACACGACAGCTTTCCTTATACTAATCTATATATTCGATGTCAGCAATCGAGATTCCCGATCAACTCTCTATCATATCTCTTATAGATTTGTAGAATTCACTCAAATAGTAGTTGCCCTGTATCCGTTTAGGCATGGACGAGACTATTCGTTTTTACTGTAATGGTTTTTTTTCTAGGAGCTAGTTATTGCAGTACAATGTTTTTAAAATTTTCATTCTATAAATTGTATTCAAGACACGTGTTACACCAAGCTCGTTTCATCTGTTAAACTGATGCATCAAACTATTCCAAAATACTATATAGTTGTTCTTTCATATCGACTGATGAAATAAATAGACATAATTGTCGTTACTGGACTATGCTCAATTGTTGAATGAAACAAATTTACACAAAATTTGACCATTAGGGTCAGAAATTTTGGTACTCAAATTGTTGGATCATTCTTCAATGAAGATAATATCAATGGAGATAGAAGCAAGTTACAGCAGGATGGCGCACATCCACATGTCGATGTTCGGGGATTCCTAAAAAAAGGATAGAACAATAACTGGGAATCATTATTCAATGTTCCTGATCACTGTATAAAAAAATCAATGGGTATTTCACCGAAACGGTGATGGAAGTTGAAAAAACCTGGTGTGCAGAAAAGTTTAGAGTTCACTGTGAAAATACCAGTTGATCCATTGATCAGAATGTACAGGCTTTTGATTCCTTCCTCAATTTTTGCTTTTACGCTATTGAAGTGCGGAGTCCAGGAGAGTCTATTACAAGTCTATTAGAAAACAAAGGTACTCTATCTGCGCTCACTTGTTAATCTTTCTTCCATAGACTCTCACTTACATGGCCGGAGAAGATATCGTTCGTTCCATGGTTATTGCCTGAGTTTCACCTAGGTTCACTCGAATCCTCCAATTGAGGTACCAACAGTCGAAGTTGTCTAATGCACTTCAAATGTAGATGATCCCAAGCTCTCGATCCATGGGAGATGAGAGGAGAGCGGTATCATTAACATACAGAGATAAATTCACACGCTCGGACCTTGGCAGGTCACTGGTGTAAAGACGGTAAACGTGAGAGAGAGCACGGCCCCCTGTAGCACTCCAGCGAGGATCTACCTGTTTTCAGACAGGGAGCCCTCCGCTCTGACTTAAAATTATCTGTCTTCCAGGAAGGACCCAATCCATCGAATGAGGCCCCGAGAGAGGTCGAACGCAGGTAGTTTGTACAGAAGGCCTTTGAAATTTTCAACAGAACAATATTCACGTTTTCGTTTGTATTCAGTTCTTGGATGGTGTTTTCGACCAGCTTAGAGCCTGTAATTCAGTGGATTGTTCCCTACGGAAGCTGAATGTTTCGTGGAACAAAAAATTTCGGGCCGCAACTTTTTCGTTGAGAGTTTGCAGAACAACTCTTTCAGCCAGTTGAGCCGCCGAAGACACAGCCTGATCGGGCGATAGTTTTGTGGGAACAGCAGGTTCTGATCCTACTTTGGGATTATGACGACGATCGCATTCCTCCACCTACTGTCGAGTCGGCTTCCGGAGATTTCCTAGCCTTCGAAGCCGTGATGGACGTTGCCGTCGTCATCTTCCCTGAGGATGAACCCGATCTTTCAACAGAATATCGCGGTCGATGTCATCGTTATTGTTGACATTGAGCTGGAACTGACGTTCTGTCGTATCGACAAAGGCCAGCGCTTTGTTGGCGGGGGAGTAGTATCCTCCGCGCTCTCCTCGAATGGGTGACGGAGCATTCTTCTTTCAGTGTCAGAGGATTCCAAAAGCTCCTTCCATCTTTCGTTTCGATAGTTAACGATAGTCTGTTTTATTTGAGTGGCCATTCTGCTAGCCACAACTTTATCTATTGGGAAGAAGGTCCGTTGATGAAGCCGTCTGAGATGGTTCCTCTCACGTATTGGGGATTTAATCTGCGGTAGAAACTCGTTATAGCTCTTCAGCGGAAGCTCTTCCCTAGAGGAGTTCGCTCGGAATGCATTATCGAATGCACCGGAAGATCGAAGTGTTCAGTTGCCACGTCGCCAAAGCTGGTCATCCTCAATCTCAAAGGATTCCAACAGCTCCTCCCATCTTTCGTTTCGATTGTTAACGATAGTCTGTTTCATTTGAGTGGCCATTCTGCTAGCCACAACTTTATCTTTTGGGAGACGGTTCCTCTCACGTATTGAGGATTTAATCTGCGGTAGAAACTCGTTATAGCTCTTCAGCGGAAGCTCTTCCCTAGAGGTGGTCGCTCGGAATGCATTATCGAATGCACCGGATGATCGAAGTGTTCAGTTGCCACGTCGTGTTCGTCGGAGGAGTGAAATGCCTCAGGATGGTATGCGTCTCTCCGAGATGGGCTGTGAAGGCATCCAAATCCGTCGATGATCTCACGCAATAATCCCAAGAAGAAAGATCATCACCCAGTAACAAGATCACCGTATCATGATCGGAATCCATTTCCAACAGAACATAGAGTTAGCTGATCAGACAGATTTAGGATTCCCTATACCTATCTCTTCTGTTTTTTACACAAAAGGTGTTTTTATATTTTACTTATGAGTAATTTTTTTATCTTCAAAATGAAACGCTGTATTGTAATTGAAAGTTCGCAAAGCGTTTGAACACCTTTTTATTGAAGAATACGCAGATTTGCTAGAAGCACAAGTTGAAATTTTTCAAAATAAGGTGTATCTAAAGTAAAATGCAGGCAAATGTAAAAACTCAAATTTATTGCCATTTCTGAAATATTCTTCAAAATAAGAAGATGCATGTGTATTAATTATTGAGGCAAAATATGTTAAATTCGCTTGTTTCTTAACAAATATATTAGACTTCATAGTGGAATAAATACCAAAATAACAATATGGGCTCAATAAAAACATACATTTACGATTGCCTATAAAACCTATTCTACTATTTTTTCAATAATAGTAGGCTCTGGCCCAGATGACGTTAATTATTATTATGAAACAAAAATTTGACAGTGACACAACTTGTTAATCAAACCATTAGGTATGATTGTTTTAACTAGTTTGAAATTATTGTCATTTTGCAATATTGTAAAATGAGAACGTATCCCCAGGAAGAATGAATTGATATGATTTTGATAATCGGTGAGTGTGAAGAAAACTGTCTATTAGCGTCTATGCCCAAAGGTATCCTAACAAGCGTTCATTGCAAAAGTTGTTGCAGCTTTTCCGAAGAACAGGCAGTGTATCTTATAATATGCAAGAACGGCAAAAACCGGTTACTGGAAACGAGGAAAATATGTGAAACAACTGGATAAGCAGACAGAGTATCCAAAGAATAAATAAAAATTACAAATTCCACCCGTATCGCATTCAACTACCTCAACAGCTTTCAGAAGATTATGATTGACGACTGAATTTTTGTTTATGGGTTTTAGAAAAGTTTCCAAGAGTTTCCAAAGAGTCAACTTTCCATAACAACGAAGCAGTTAACAGACATAACTTCCACCACTACAGTGACGAAAACCCTAATATTTTTAGAATCCTTGATCACCAGCACAGCTGATTTGTTGTGTGGGGTGGAATAATTGGAACGCAAGTAGTAGGTCCTTACTTTTTTTATGGTCATTTAAACGGCGTCATGTTTTTCGGATTTATTAGGGATAATTTGCCTATGCTCTTAATATGCCTCTTAATATTCTTCAACGGATGTGAATGCAGCTAGATGGTGCTCCTGCCCACTTTGATAGACGTGTTAGAAACCAGTTAGATCGATAATATCCAAATAGATGGATAGGACGAGAAGGTCCACAGAATTGGCCAGACAGGTCTCCGGACCTTACAAGTCCCGACTATTTTTTATGGGGATATATCCGAAGTATTGTTCACGATACACCGCCAACGACACCTCAGGATATGAAAATAGGAATGAGAAGAGCGTTCCGTTCCATATCACATGATATGTTATCCAGAGTTCAGCACTAATTTCAAGAAAGAGTTCGCCTATGCATCGAAAATAATGATATTTTTGCTTCCTACCATCAGGCTCAATGAGTATCATATCAATATTGACACGTTTTTCCGACACTTCGTTAGCGGAGCGCGCATCGAGCTCTGAGCGCATATGGTATGGGAAAAGTATTTTCGATAGAATAATTTTGCGCCTGACGTTCCAATTCTACCTATGAAATATTCCGAGTTTGTTGCTGACTTGAAAAAAAAATTAAACCGAAATAAAGTAAATTCTCACAATTTCCAACAAATTTCTGAAGGAAGTATGATTTGGTTTTACCCATCATTTATATGAAGGTCAATTTCACAGAGGTGATGATTAGAAAAAAAAATTGAACACGGCAATTTTTATTTTGACGATGAAATCTCCCAGGCATATTCTGAATCTTTTCCCATCGACTTCATTGGTGTGATATTATGCAACTCTCAAATTTTAGATGAGACTGGAGATCAA